GTCATTAAGTTCTAATATTCTACCTTCCACCTTATAGTAAAAACCAGTTTGTTAACATGAGCTCCAGCAGCAACATGGAGAACAAAAGCAAATAAACAGTATGTCTGGATGTGTCTGTGTATTGGCCTAGGTACATAAGGAGATTCCGGTCTTTTGCTTCCCCTTGCTAAGTAACTGTAGAAACAACAGGAGTAGAAGCACACAACCACCATTACCGTCCCCAAATTAATTTCCCCCTTCCCGGTTTTCACTTACAAGCACCATTTCTTTCCTAGGTATCTTTCTTCCCCAACTCTCTCCTTACCGAATTGCGTGGTTCTGTGTGTTTCCTGCTTAGGCTCTGGAAAGTGTGATACTTAGTAGTAAAGGTGCTTGTCACTTTAAGAAGTCCTGCCGCGGGACAACAGTCATGATCACTTTAGCTTTGGAAGTGACCCCTGCATCTGCACTTCTTTCATCCTGAATACAAGCTCACTTGGGGATGGACTATTTCCTGGTGAGGGGAGTGGGAGGAGCCTAGACCCTTCCACACACACAAGTCAAGTCTCTCCAATTGGTTCACTCCAGATCTGAAACCAGTTCGAGTCTGAATGTGGGACACAACTGAGAAAGGGGCGCTCGCTTGCGCTTCCTGCCTCAAGGATTTAAATGTCCAGCAAATTTCCTTGCAGAGAGCCTCAGGCCTGTCTAGGGTGAGCACCAGCGCTTTGCCCAACAAATAAGGTGAGTTTGAGGGACCCTCCTACATTTTCTGTTAGGTTTCTTAAGGTTATCAAGTTTTAGGACTCTAAAAGCTGAGCTTGACTTCCAAAGAATGCACATGCAGGCCATGCAGACTCAAACCCAAGAAACGCTGGAGCAGGAAGGAGGCAGAGTAATTTACAGCGCAGCTCTATGCGGAGTTACTCTAGTATAAACTAAACGGGCGTAGGCTGGAGTAACTCTGCATTGGATTGCACTGGAAATTGTGTCTGCACGCGCAGCGGCGGCAGGAAAGCACCAACGTGCCGTCGTTACTCAAGACCCCCACCTGAAATTCGCCTTTTCGTTTGGTTCTCTGGTGCAAGTATCCATTTGAAGTTCTACCTCGATTGGCAGTCTTTCTTTCAAGAGCCCCCCCCCCCCCCATGGCATTTCTAGCTGGTCTCCTGTAGGATGGAGCCTCCCACACACGCTCCGGAGTCGAGCGGGGGAGGTGTTGGGTATTGTCTTCTCCTGAAGAGTTTTGACTGGGCCATGTTTAAGTCTAGAGAACGCTCTTCTTTAAAACGTTAACCAGACCGAGACCCCTTCCACCTACTGGTGTCCTCTACAGAAACTGTCAAGCAATCCTATATTTATTTATTTAAAATTAAGAGAGTACAAACTCTCCTCAAGCTCATTCCCAAGTTTACTTCAGTTGCTCCAACTCCTCCGTTTGGGGATTGTTTCACGTTTTCCTTGTTGCTGTAGGACTAAGAGAATTGCCGCTAGAGGGAGCGCCACTCCATTTGTATAAACTACGCTGCGGTTCAAGACCGCGTTCAGGGGCTGACCTCGCATTTGGAATAGGACGGGAGGTCTACTTCCAAGAGGTTGGCTGTGATCTGGCTTTTTTTTTTATGTTGATGATGAGCTGTGTGGATCCAGGCTAAGCTTGTGATTGTTTTGCTTGTGGATTTCAGTTTTAGGTTGCCATATCTACTTGGTTTCAGGGAGAGGCTAGGAAATCTTTGTAATCCAAGGTGTCAACTCCAGTTTAATATCTAGTTTGTGCATTTAATTTGAATGCCGTCTTCCCCAAACAATAATATGTTTAGGGCTGCTGTTTAAATGATTGGGGAATTAATGAGTCTCCCCCATTTCAAAAATAATGCTAAAACAAAAGGGACTCTTAAAGACACTGATTTCCTGTGACATGAACTTTTGTGTCTAGTTAGTCAGTTGAAATATTATGCACACTTGGTAGTAAGTCCAGTTGAACCAAGTGGAATAAGGTGTGTGTGTGAAAAGATTACCAAGTATTCCTTACAAAAAATAGAGTCCCCTAAAAATAGCTGGCCTGTGAAATTAAATTGCAGTCTAGAAACACTTTAAAGACTAACAAAATTTATTGCTGCATACATTTTGTTAGATATTTAAGATGCTCCTGGACTCCTGTTCAGTTTTGCTACTACAGACTAATATGGCTACCCTTCTGGCCTACTATGGCATTCTGTCACAAACACCAAGCCTGCTTCATCAGTGGTATGAACTGAGAAAGTGCTGGTTTGTATCTCTGGGTGAGTGGAGCTACAGTAGCATCAAACCAAGTTAATGTATTAATGTTATACTTTTCTTGGTTTTTTTCATGCATCTGACGAGTAAATTAGTCTTAAACATGCTAGACAGCTTTTGTCTCTTTGCTGTAATAGATTACCAGGCTGACTCTGATCAACAAGCAATGCACCTCAGCTGTTGGGACCTTGAAATACAAGAGAATAAAAGTGGGAGGCAGTACAATTTCTTGTGCTGGCTAGCCTGGCCATAGGGTCCCATCTCAATAGGGGAGGGGAATGCAGCAGAAATATTAATCAGCAGTTGAAGTAATATTCACAGCAAAGGTCTGTTTTGGATGTAGTCAAGAGTAAACTCTTAAAAGCTATGAACTGCCTACAAGTGTGCCTGCGGAGAAACAAATATAACTTCCATTCCCGCTGGAGAGAAATGTCTAGTAGATACTAACAGATGTCCAAGATTGAATAGAACAATACAGGAATTGATGGTCTTGCCTAATGTTAGGGCAGCTATGATTTTCAAATTGATGTTATCTACAAAATAACATGGTATTCAGAATTGTGGCCTGAATTATGAATAGGTTCTGGGCTTCCTTGTGCTTTGGCTTAAATCTTAGGGTTTATCTCCACACGACAAGATTTTTTCATCTTGGAAAACAACCTCTACTAAAGGATTATTATAAAATTTATACCATCCAGAGGACATTTGAGAACCTCTGCTGTGGCTGCTGTCTGAATATAGAGTGTAATCCTCCCCAACCGATGCTCTTGGTAAATGTAAACAAAGAAAAGGTTTTTATGCCTTCCAGGGCCCAGTTCTGTTGCCACTATTTTCAGCTGAAGAAAATAGCAAACTTCTCATACATCTGGATTTTCTTTCCTGGTCAGCCTTAAGAGTACCATGTTAGAGACAGCTAGAAGTAGAGGGTAAAATATAGCAGCATGGGGGGGGGGCTTTGACAGATTGTAAATAGTCGTTGAGGGAGAAGATTTATCAATTTGTACTGAAGTTGTCTCCTAAAAGGGGTAAGTTTTGCTTTTCTAAATTATTCAGCAGTTTTTCGTAACTGCTGCACAAAAGCCTTGCAAATAGTGCATTGCATATGAATAAAATCAGAAGTTTGATAAATGGGGAAAAGCCTGTAGAAGAATTCTAAGAGAATATGGATTGGCAAAATTATCTGTTTTAAAGGAAAAAAGAGTAGCAGTGCAGGAAAGAAGACATTTTAAATAAGCAGGCTAGGGTGGCACTGGCAATAAGGCTATGACAGCCAGAAATTAAAGGCTAGCTTCCATGGATGCCAGGGAGGGAGGGAGAATCTAGGAAATTGGACTGACAGAAAATAAGCAGAGTGAGCGTAGTTACTTGTACTTTGACACTGTGAACAATACTAAGCATCTTGTTAGCAAAATACCCCTTTCACCCAGAAAGATAACCCCCTGCAGTTCTTGCTTGGGTTTTGTTGGTATGTCCCTGTCTGCCCTGTGGTGTCTTCAGTGCTCTGGCCTTGTACCCCTTTCTAGCCCCCCCCCCTTTCCACATGTGTTTTGCTCCCTCTGGGACTACTGGAGAGAGCAAAACACATTGGGGGGGAAATCCCTGAAGCAACAGGGACAAAACGAGTGACAATAATGACAGTGCGGAAGTGGCCTAAGTTTCCTTTTTAACATCAGCATCTCCAGTTAAAACTCTTTCTAGATGCCTATAATGCAGTTCTGTCATTCAACCAGAAGAGGTTTCAAGTCTTTTATGACCCTTTGTCTCACTGTTTACAAAGAACAGCCACACTGCAGCTGGTGTGCCAAGTCCACTTTGAACCTGGAGGCCAAGGGGGTCTCGTACTACCTGTTGCACACTGCCATCACATAATATTACCCATCATTCTACTGTGTTAGGATTGAAGGATTCACCTTTCCCCCTTCCATTCTTTCCAAGTTTGCATAGTGAAAATTTATGGAAATATTTACAATTTGAATTGTTCGCATCAAGGTGATATTCCAGTTGAGGTATGCTCAGGCTCACTTCTCAGTATATTTTCTAGGCTTGCATTGGGTCCATGTAAGACAAACTCAACATAAATCTAGAGCCGGAAAAATAAGGAAAACTAACTTTAGAAAGCACATTTTCCTGTTCACCCATCTGCATTTAGCTACAATGCAGCTTTGTATGTTTCAGCACGTCTGACAAATCTAGTTCCCAAATACTAAAGCTGTCAATTTCAGAACTCATGCTGTCATAGTAAAATGATTCGATAGTCTGTTTTTATCAGATGGATACAGCTGGATATTATGGTTGAGTATTAGGTGCAGACTGCTATGCATAATAAGATGACAAGATGATATGCCCATTGAAATACTTACATTAAGCCCTTTCCCTCTCTCTTGTGATAGTCTAAGGTTGCAATCCAGTGCCCAATTAAGAAGTACTAGGGTTTGATCAGACTAAGGCGCATACTTATTTGAGAGTAAGTCTAGCCGAATTCAGGATAAATGCATGTATCAGATTGGGCTGTTGAACTTGCAATCTAAACATCTCTTTTTATGAATTCATTCCTCAGCCAGGTGTCATGAAAAAGTCTCTTCCCGCTGAGTAGCCTGTGGGATATTACTGTGAGCATTGTTTCGTGAATGCAGTCAAGATGCCGAAAGAGAACAGTCTGACTGTGCTGCCCTGGTAGTGGGCTAGGCTGTGTCGGCACGGCCTGTGCTGGATGTGTGAAATCTCATGGTCTCATCTCTTCTGTGTTCAGGATGATCCAGCGCCACCAGCTGGTGCAGTCTGTGCTTCAGGAGCTGCAGGAGGCAACGGAATGCTTTGGGCTAGAGGGGCTCACCAGTGCAGCCCTGGAGGCTGAGAGGACGCTGTCCTCATTCTCCTTGCCGAGCTACTGCGGGAGGCAGTTCCAAGAAGAGCTGGAAGTTGACCTGGTAGCCAAAAGCCTCTATCCAGAAGATGCTCCCAGCAACATGCTGCCTTTGGTTTGCAAAGGTGAGGGAAACCACTTGTTTGAGGCTGCCAGCGTGCTCCTGTGGGGGAACACAAGCCTCAGCCTGGAGCTGCAGGTGCGCACAGCAGTGGAGATGCTGCTTCACAAGCAGTACTACCTGAATGGCATGATCGACTCCAAGGTGATGCTGCAGGCTGCCCGCTACTCGCTTTGCACAGAAGAGTCCCCTGAGATGACGAGCTTACCTCTGGCCATTCTAGAGGCCATTTTCGATGCTGACGTCAAAGCCACCTGCTTCCCTGGCACCTATGCCAACATGTGGCATGTGTATGCCCTGGCGTCGGTGCTGCAGTGCAATATTTATTCCATCTACCCAATGAGCAACCTGAAGATCCGGCCGTACTTCAACCGATTGATTCGACCCAGGAAGTGTGGCTCGCAGGTCTCCATGCTCCACATCATGTGGTCAGGGCAGCAGGTCTCGTCCCAGGTTTTCAAAGCTCAATACTTTGTGGCCGTTGTAGGCCTGGAAGAGCTGGAACCAACAGGCCCTCCTCCAGAGCCTCAAGTGCAGCCGGTGAAGACCCTGGAGCTGCTGAACAATGATCCCCAGGTGACTTACTCTAACCTACGCGAGAGATACAGCATTACCAAAAGCACCTTCTATCGCTGGAAGCGCCAGTCCCGAGAGCATAGGCAGAAAGCGGCTGCTAGGTTTGCGGCCAAACACTTCCTGCAGTCCTGCTTCCAGGAAGGGAACATCGTCCCTCTCCAGCACTTCCGACAAATGTTCCCAGAAATATCTCGCTCCACTTACTATGCCTGGAAGCACGAGCTGCAAAGCATGACCAATGGTGAGGCCTCTTCCCCTGCTGAAGTTGCATCCTCAAAGGAACCTCACACGTCCAAACCTGTGAAGCCTCCTACGGGTGTGTCTGGGACAGCACCATTGGATTCCAAAAGCCCTCTCCTGAATTCTGGCCAAAATGGGATCTCTATGCAGGGAGCCAAGTCCTACCTGGAGAAATGCATTTCCATGAACACCCTCGTGCCTTACAGAAGCTTTAAGCGCAGCTTTCCTGGCATCTCCAGGTCCACATACTACAACTGGAGGAGAAAGGCCCTTAAGGGGAACCCAAGCTTCAAACTTCCCCAGCCTCTTCCTGTCAACCAGAAGCCCCTTGTGAGCAGCAACCCATACCTGCTCCTCAAGCCAGAAAACCTGCCTAACAGGAAGATGTTGAATGGGCATAGGCCAGGACCCCGGATTCTTTTGCGCATCAAGCCGTCTCTGTACAACTGGCAGAAGCAGCTTCGTGACTTGGCCAAGAAGCGTGTCAGCCAGTGGCACATGCCTTTCTGCAAGTTTCGCCTGCGCTATCCGGGTGTCTCTTCCACAGCCTATTGGTTCTGGAGGAGGAGAAGCATCCAGAAGAAAAAACCTCAGCCTTCTTCAAATGAGAGTTTCAAACACTTGCAAAATGCTATCTCAGAGTCCAGTAAGAAGACAGAGCTTGGATTCCCTCCACTCCAGCAAAGGGAGATGGCTCCAGTGCATGTGGTCCAGCCAGTGCCTAAACCCAACAACACCAGGATCTCAAGCTATCCAGTGTCGGAAAGCGTCAACAGCCGCATGTTTGTGATGGATGTGATTGCCACAGCTCAGTTCAAAGCACAGGCCAAGCTATTTCTTCAGCAACGCTTCGAATCGAAGACCTTCCCAACATACAAAGAGTTCCGATCTCGCTTCCCCTTAACCGCACGCTCCACTTATTACATGTGGAAACGAGCCTTGCATGATGGGCTGACCCTGGTGGATGCCTAAAGCCAACTCAGGTTCCATCCCATTCCCTACCAGAGCTTGGGTCATCTCCTCTACAAGCTGTATTTGTTTTGAGCCCCCGCCCCCAACTTCAGAACCAGCTCTGCTGGTCTTGGAGATGTGGACAAAGTGAGAATTCAGGTATAATATTTTTTTGTGTGTGCTGGGCAAGCAAGGGGCTTGTTCTGAAGGAGAAAGTTTTGTTTTGTTTGTTTTTTCTTAGTGAATAGGCCAGAAAATTAAGGGTGGTAGTAAACAATAGGGGTCTTGGGGTCTTTTTTTTGAAGTGCTTCTGTAATTTTCCGCTGATTTAAATGCTTTTATTTTCTTAATTTGACACTGGGCCACACCTTTCAGTCCTGTGAAGAGAGTGTAGATGCTGTCGTGTACCGCATTGTTTGCAAGATGATTACTGGCGTCTCTTTAAGTTAGTCCATGGACATAAGCCCTCAGCATGCAGTTGCAAGATCTCGTATATGATGGGGTAGTGCAAGCAGGGAGAGCCTGGCAGTCAAATGCAGCTGAATTTTAAATGAGCAGTGGCCTAGTTTGGAAATGTGGGCTCTTTCTGGAGATTGCAGTGACTCTTTTTGGTGTGCAAGGGAAGAGTCTTCTTTGCAATGGTTTCTCCGCTTCAGAAATGTTGTGGAAAGGCCTTCTGAGAGGGAATGCTGACAGGATGTAGGCCAGTTCAGGTTAGGGAACTTTTGTCTTTGAGACTGATGGAGGTGGTGGCAACCAAGACCAGCTTGATAGGAAAGCACAGACCCATGTTGTGGCACACCCAGGCTGTAGGAAAGGAGAAGTTCCTATGATAAAGTTGTCATTCTCACACTATCTAATATGTATGCTTTTGTTCAGTGCTCCCTGTTCAGTCCCATCCCATAACCCAGAAACCAGTCCTCTCTCTTAAATTATGCAACCCAGCTGGGTTCTGCATCCACTGACAGCAGCCTGAATGACCCATAAAGTCACCAGTCATGTGGGATTTCTGAACATCTTACAGTTGCAGAGGCATAGATGGCTTTACTCTCTCCAAGTAGGGGATGTAAGGTGCATCTTGGTGGCTTAAATTTGCAGAAAGATGCCTATAAAAATATTTAACTGTGCTTCCCTAGGTGGAGTGCTTGAACCAGTTGGACAAAACCCACTGATATGCCTAGGGATAGCTGTGAGACTTATAAGGTTCCACATGAATAATGATAACTGCAAAGTAGGGCGAATGTGGTTTGGTTAAAGAGGTAGCATTGGGTTAAATTTCCTCCACAGTTGCAATACTATGATGTAAACCTGACAAGTAGATAGGTTTTAACACACAGCATCTGTTCAGGCCCAGCAGGTGGCGCTCTTGTAATGTAGGATTGAGAGCTGCTTATCCCTGACTTTAAAGTGCAGGATTTTCTGTCTTCCCTCTCTGGCTTCTTTACCCAGGCTATGTGCGTGTCCTGAATCTTGGTTTTCTCTGAGCATTCCAGGTAGCTGTAATGGTTGGGACTGAGGAAGCTGTTCTGGCCCTTCTCATCCCTGCAGCCCAGAACCACAGAGTGGATCAGCCTGTTCTGGTTCCTTTCTGGTTTTGCATCTCTTGCTTCAGTAGTGTGGACTCAGCAATCCTCCTGGCTGACTTCCCATAGTAAGCACAGGGTTGTTTCAATGGAAAGGATGTTTGCCTTCCCCAGGAATATTCTCCATGCTCTCAGTTGTATGATAAAGCTGTCATAGCCAGAAGCATGGAGAACCTGCTGCCTCACATACTGCAAGAAGGAAAGCGGTAAAAGGCCTCCAGGAATGGCCTTGCTTGGACCTTGGTCAGTCTTTTAGGTGTCTCTGTCCCTATTCCACAGAAAACCAAAGAAGCAGAGAATCTGTAAGGTTTTTGCTAACAGTAGTATGAAAAGCGGGCTTCTGATTGCAAACTCAGTTCCTTCTATGTTTCCTTTGCTCTAAAAATCATGAAAACTACATTAAGAGAAAACTACGCACCTGGATCCTCTGTAGCATGCTCAGAAATAAGTCCTAGTGTATTCAATAGGCTTATCTTCATACGTAAATATGGCATAAGAGCACAGCTTATTTTTGTGACCAATAAAATAATGCAATTAAAATGTTTGTTTGCTCATTCATTATACTTTTGCTAGTCAAGTGGTAGCACAGAGCTAAGAGCGGTGAAGCCCCATCCCCTGACCTCTGGAATTTGGTTTCACTTTCCTGTTATTTCAGTAGTCATTACCAAAGCTTTTCCAAGCAGAGCTATGTTGCCCAGTAGTAGCATGCTATTTATAAACAAAAGCTGAGGCTCCCTGGATTCTGAATTCTGTACCAGTATTCCACAGTGGTAGACTGGAGTCATGAATATATATAGCAATGCTCATTTTATTTTATTTACTTACATTTATACCCTGCCTTTCTACCCAGTGGGGACCCAAAGCAGCTTACATCATTCTCCTCTCCTCCATTTTATACCCACAACAAGCCTCTGATGAAGGTTAGGCTGAGAGTGTGTGACTGGCCCAAGGTCACCCAGCAAGCTTCCATGGCAGGGTGGGGATTTAAACCTGGGTTTCCCAGATCCTAGTCCAGACCTCTAACCATGACACTACACTGATTACATGATGGTAGGGACAAGATTATAATGGCCAGCTTCTACCTGGGCTAGGCTGTAGCCATTGTACCTCTTCCTGAGACCTCTATTTGCACGATGCTTGGTCAAACCTGAGGAGAAGGAGTAATTGAGCCTAGTCTAATGGTTTTTCTCATGGTGCTTGTTGTCTAGCTCATTGTCCCTTGCTGCTAATGGTGGTCTCCCATGGTCTGGGCCAGGAAGGCATGTGCAGATTTGTCCATCGCATGGACTGCAATGAGTGCATTAAACCCTAGACACAAATCTTCCATATTAAATATATAACTGGCTACTCTGAAGTGCTTAATGATCTGTTGGTTCTTCTCTAAGGAGAAAAAGGTAAAATGAGCAAGAGCACCTCAAGGGAGAAGTATTTGCCCCATAGCTGTTTGGACTGTGTCACATTTTGGCCCTTCCTGGTGTCATCTCCTGTGATGTTCTCATTGGGATTATAGAGGCTGTGCTATTAGGCTGTGACAAGACTCTGTCTCAGGGCCTTCTTTTCACCTCTAACCTAACTCTTTTGTCCTTTTTAGTGAGGTGACTGGGTTCCTCTCCTGGACTTATACAGGAATTACGGCCACAAAGCAGCATGCACAGTGGTCCAGAAATGGGAAGAAAAACTGGCAAGTGTATTTGCCTGTTTCTCCAGTGTTGTATTTCTGTGTGCTCTGCAGTGTCAGCACAGTGTGCAGTATTTACACAAGCGTATTTAAGTTGCACATAGATGCAGGCATACTAAAGCCTAGGGTTGCCAAGTTGCGGCGGGGGATCTGCATGTCTTCACAGAATCCTTGCCGCGGGGACAGTGAGACGTGTTGCACCGCCGTCACCAGGATCTGATGCTACGTGTCGCTCTGGCAACGGGGCTCCAAACAGCCCCGTTACCAGGGCGACGCATAGCGTCATGTCCTGGTGACGGCGGTGCAACGCGTCTTGCCGTCCCCACGGCAAGGATTCTGTGAAGACATGCAGATCCCCTGCCACGATTTAGCGAGATTTGGCAGGCCTACTAAAGCCACAGTTATGTACAAACCTCACATCTCCAGTGCAGCTACTGTTTCCATCATTCATGGTTAGGGAAGGTGATTAAGAGTTTGGGTACTGCTGGCTCCAAATGTTTAAAATCTGGTGATGGGAACTGGCCGTTTTCCTTTTAAAACATAAGATGCTAACAGTGTAATCCTAAACTGAGTTGCAGTTTTCTAAACGCATTGACTTCAGTGGGCTAATAGGATGAAACTGTACTTAGGATGGAGTTTCTTGTGACTCTCAGCAATAATTCAGAGTTAAGAAAATCAGGGATGAGCTGTCTGTCCTTGCTCGGATTGTTTTCCTTATGACTTTCCCTAGCAGTCTAGCACTGGCAATTAGATCCCTTCTTCCTCCTAACATTTCCCCCTGTCATTCCAGATACAAGGTTAGAGGGTTCTTCTCTGTGGAGTTCAGTTAACTAAGTCAGTGTAGTTGAGACATGCACAACCTTGCTTGAATTATCCTCAGTGCAAAGAGCAGCTCAGGAGCACAACTGGAAAACCTTGGGAAAATGGCTACAAGTTGATGCATTAACCCTTGCTCGGAGCTATGATACGATGAAGGTGGAGTGGAAAGCTTTGTAGTACCCAGCAGATGGGCAGAGGTACATCCTTCCTGAGCTAAGACAAAAATGTGGGAGCCGGAGGAAGGGTGACCTCAGCTATTAGGAAGAGTGCTGCTTGCTCTAGTCACTGAGGCTGCATGCGTCAAGGGAGTAATTGGAGTAATTACCTACCAGCGACTTCTTGCAGGTGAATTCCTGTGGGGGAGCAAACTGGTAATTACTCTACAATGATTATCCATGTCTGTAAACTCTGTGCCGGAGGCTGTTAAGTTCATCTGTTTGCCACAGCGGCAGAACAGCTGCTATAAAATTGACATCAGGACTCCCAAGTGGGCTGTATCTATTTCTGTATTTTATTTTACTGGGACCAAGAAGGGGGGGGGGGAAGGAGAGAATGTTCTGAAACTTGGCAGATGACCCCCCCCCCCCATGATGGGCCCCAAGCCTTTTTTTGGAAGCCACAGATGTATACAAATGTAATGCTGAAAAGAACAGTATGTGGATTTCTTTTCTGGGGAAGATGTGTTTTTCCCACATAGGCTATTCAAATTTTGTGTCTTGTGGGAACAGGAAATCATAATTTCTTTCTAAAAATATTTTCCAATTTTAAACACTCTTAAAAACATTCCAGTAGTCAATTCAGTGGAGACATGGTTATGAAGCCAACAGAGAGATGTGTCAGTTTTTTACCTCTCTATCCCTGCGTATCACAAACCAGTGGAAAACCAAGCATCCTCTTGCAGCTACACCAGTGTATCCTGCAGCAAAGAAAGTCTGGAGATA